TTATCAACTCAAGAATATGTTATTTATTCACAATTATTTTCTCTTCTAAAAATATTTTCTTGTTCAGTAATTAATAAGACTAGTACAACACCCGTGATTATAAGGTGCTATGTAAAAAAAAAATTACTGAAATTCTAAAACAAATGTAAAGATATATTTTATTTTTCTAAATTTTAAATACTTTTTAAAAAAAAAACATTATTATTATTTTTAAAATGAGAACTTTCACGTGTATGATTTGTCCATCTTATATTATGATAACTTTTATAATTCATATGTAATGAATTTTCCTTCATATGTATGAATTATTGTTGGAATATCACTTGTGAGTGTCACACATTGCTTCTATAGGGAAAATGAGTCTAGTATATAAGCCTAATGGGCTACTCCTCCTATCACCAATTGGTTTTGGGATGGAACCTCACTAAGGTGCATCTAGGCTCACCCTCTTATGGTGCGCCTTCATCTGGTGGGACCGCACTCTCTTCCCCCGTTTCTAATAATTATCCTTCATATGCAATGAATTTTTGTATGACTTTCGAATTGATATACATTTTTATTAATTTTTAATCAGTAATTAGATAACGATTTAATTTTATAATAGAAAATATTTATTTATTTTATACATGAAATATGAATATCAAATCGAAACTCGTCAAAATATAAATAATTAATTATATAGAAATTTGATAACGAATAAGAAAAATTATTAACTGTAAAAACAGATAAATTAGCGCATGCATTCACCGAATTTTAGCACTGTTAGAAAATTTTGACCATTTGAATCACCACAAATGCTTTAGGTTATTGACGGATAGGTTGTATATGTTGTAGGTCATGTTTTCTTAATAATAAATTAAAAAAAAAAAAAATAAAAAAAAAAATAAAGCAATATTATGAAAAAGTGAGATTATTGCATTGTACAAAGTCGTTGCCCCTCACCCCAATTTCAACCTTCTATTTTGACTTTTGTAAGACTTGAATGTTCTTTCACAAGTATGAATTTGCCTATAAAAAATGACGTTCAAAGCTTGGATATCCGTCCCATAAGCAAGTTATTAAAGATTTTTATTTGCTCTATTATTGTTATTATCAAAATTGCATTTTGGATTTTAGAGTGTGTTGCTGAAATGGGAAGAGTTAATGTGCTCTCTCTAGCGGTAGCGTGCTTCATCTTAACCTTCAGAGTTATTAATTCTAATACGGAAGGTTGAATATTTGTATTTATTGACGTTACTTTCATTTGTTTGTTTCAGTTTAATTATTTTTATGGACATTTGTAGACTAAATAATTTGTTATCTTTTTTTTTTTTTTTTTTTTTTTTTTTTTTTTTTTTTTTTTTTTTTTTCATTTTTGTTCACTAACTTTTTAGATCACAAGTTGGGTATAACTTGTTTTTCAGTTTGTTACAATAACTTTTAATTTTGATTTTAATTTCGTCCATTTTTTTTTTTTTTTTTTTT